ATAAATGCAGAAAATGCAGGGGGAGGGAGAACATCAGGAAGAATAGCTAATGGATGCTGGGTTTAATACCTACGTGACCTGTGCAGCAAACTACCACGGCACACGTTTATCTACATAACAGATCTGCACATCTGCACATGTACCCTGGAACTTAAAAGTTGAAGAAAAAAATATAGAAAATGCATTTGATAAAATTTAATATACATAATTTTTAAAAATCTTAGGATATTAGAAATAGAAAAGAAACTCTTTAGATAAAAAGAATCTACAAAAAGCTTACAAGAAACATCATAATGGTGAAATACTGAATGCTTTCTTTCCCCTAATATCAGGAAGAAACAAAGTTGCCCACCACTGACTTTGTACTCAAGTTTCTCACTATTGCAATAAGGCCGAAAAAAAAAAAAAAAAAGAGTACAGTTGACCCTTGAACAACACAGAGGTTATAGGCACTGAAACCCCTCTGTGCCGTCAAAAATCCACATATAACAAAAACCTAACTACTAATAGTCTACTGTTGACCTTGCCAGTAACACAGTAAATTAACATGTTTTATATGTTATATGTGTTATATACTGTATTCTTACAATAAAGCTAGAGAAAAGAAAATGTTATTAAGAGCCATAAGGAAGAGAAAATATATTTACTATTCATTAAGTAGAAGTGGACCATCATGTCTCCATCCTTGTCTTCACATTGAGTAGGCTGAGAAGGAAGGGGAGAGTTGGTCTTGTGGTCTCAGGGGTGGCAGACGTAGAATGGAGACAGGAGAGGCAGGCACACTTAGTGTAACCTAATGGAAATACTTTGTAATTTCTATTGTAAAATAAGTCAAAAGTAGTCTTGAATAATCAGAATCCTTCTGCTAGACTGTCTAATGTCAATTTGTTTTCTGGCACTACTATGTCTTTTTTACCTGGCACCATTTTGGAATCACTCATCTCCATCAAGTCATCTGTGTAGTCACACACAACATCTGGATAGTTTGCTTCATCAACAATTTATTATTTTAGGTTTGATGGCTTTCATGGCTTTTTCTATAACAATGATGGAATCTTAAATGGTTTAAGGCTTTCGTGATGTTCTATCAGGGTTCCCCTTCACAGCACTGACGATCTTTTCCATAAATTATCCTGTTGTAATGACCCTTAAAGGTCCTTATGGCCCTCTGATCAGAGGCTCAATTAGGAATGCCATGTTTGGGGGCAAGTAGACCACTTAGATGCTTTCAGTGTTGAACTCATGGGGTTCTAAGTGGCCAGAGGCATTGAGAATGTAAGAAGAAATGGCAGTCCTTACTGGCAAGATGCTTCTTGACTTTAGAACAAAGCATGGATGGCATCAATCCAGAAAAAGTATTCTCATTGTGTAGCAGGCCTTTTTGTTATACAACAAAAAGACTGGCAGCTGGTATAATCTTTTTCCTTAGAGGCTCAGGGGTACCCCCTTTATAGATTAGAAAAGTACTTAGAAATCCAACTCCATTTCCACAGAGTTAGCATATCCCTTTCCACCTTAAATCTTGATGCTCACTTCTCTTCCTTACTAATAAATGTCCTTTGTGGCATTATCTTTTTTCTAGAATAGGACACTTTCATCTGCATTAAAAACCTGTTCAGGCAGATATTCTTTCTTCTCAATGATTTTCTTAAAGCATCTGGAAACACACCTGTTGCCTCTTGGTCAGCAGAAGCTGCTTCTCCTGTTATCTTGACATTTTCAAGTCAAATCTCTAATACTATCAAACCATCCTTCGCTGGCATTAAATTATCCAGCTTTAGATCTTGCATCTTCCCTTTGTTTTGGTCATAATGTAGTGACTTTACTTTTTCCTGAATCATATTAGAGTCTATATACAAGCCTTTCTTACAGCAATCCTGCACCCACATAAAAGGTACATTTTCTACACAAGATAGAGACTTTTGCAAAAAGTGCAAGGTTTTCATGCTTTCTGGCATAGCTGCAGCTATGGCTTCACAAATTTTCTTTTCTTTTATTAAATGGTCCTTACTCTGGATTCATTTATTTTGAAATGGCAGGCAACCACAGCTGCAGTGCTCAACCTACTGTATATACCAAGCAATTCAACTTTTTCTTGTAATGTCATGAGTTTACTTCTTGGAAGCATTTCCAGTATCACTAGCAGCAACTCATATGGGTTATTCAAGGTATTTACAGCATTGCACTAAACATGATGGAAAATATGCAATAGTTGCAAGAGACCATTTACTGAGATACTCAATTTATTGGAAAGAAAGCTGCTCATATGGAGATGATTAGCATCTCATGGTGTTTTAAGCAGATATTCACAACACTTGAGATCACTGCAATAGCAACAGGAAGTAAATACAAAATTATAAGAGCAGTGCAATAGGTACTACAGTTAACACAATGCAGTTATGATTTAATACTGCATCTTTACACTTGTTTACATTTCCCCAACTGCAAATGGCACTATGTATGGTCCGTGTATGCACAAGTTTTGATAAATTTTCATAAAAGATTTGCATTTTACGGTAGCAAATTATAAAACATGAATATATACATGTATTTTATTCATTCATGACATACCTTTTTCTTAACTTTTTCAATATTTCTGGGCTACGTGGTTCATCTGTTTTTTTCAAATTGTTGCAAATTTCCAAAAAACTTTCCAATGTATTTACTGAAAAAAATCCTGTGTATAAGTGGATCTACACAGCTCAAAAACATGCTGTTCAAGAGTCAACTGTATACAGATTGGAAAGGAAGAAATAAAGGTTGTTGGGTACAAGGTCAGTTATAAAAATCAATTGTATTTTTTTAAAAGCAGTTTGCTTTAAAAAGGACACTATTTATCATGATATCAAACACTTAGCAATAAACCTAACAAAAGATGTGTAATTCCTACATACAAAAAAAATTTCAAAACATCTAGAAAAATTAAACATCTAAACAAATGGAAAGATATATCATATTCATAGATGGGAAGAATCAATACTATAGGCACTAGTCAAGTGTCCCCAAATTAATGTAGAAATGCAATGTAATTCCAATCAAAAAATCATGTGTTTTTCTATGTATGTATAATTTAACAAGCTATTCCTAAAATGTATATAGAAATGCAAAGGTACATAGTCAAATCAATTCTGCAGAACACTAGAGGACAGAAGCTTCAGGTTATAGTGATAATATGGTATTGGCTGAAACATAAACAATAGGCAATGGAACAGAATAGTGCATCTAGAAAAATACCCCACATATACTTCCACCTTTATGACAAAGAGACACTGAAGTCCAATGAAAAAAAGATGACATTTTCCAATGAACAGTGCTGCATCTATTAGCTATCCATATGGGGAAAAAAAGATGATGCCCTCTTCTTCGTATTATATATTTAAAAAAGAATAGTAAAGTTTCTTAGAAATAAAGCAGGAATAACTTACTGAGATAAACAAAGATTTCCTAACCAGAACACAGAACACACTTAACATACAGGGAAAATTTGACAGACTACAGTACATTAAAATTAGGAAATTTGGCCAGGCACAGTGGCTCGCACCTGTAATCCCAGCACTTTGAGAGGCTGAGGCAGGCGGATCACAAGGTCAGGAGATTGAGACCATCCTGGCCAACATGCGAAACACTGTCTCCACTAAAAATACAAAAATTAGCTGGGCTAATGCCTATAGTCCCAGCTACTTGGGAGGCTGAGACAAGAGAATCGCTTGAACCCAGGAGGCGGAGGTTGCAGTGATCCGAGATTGTGCCATTGCACTCCAGCCTGGGTGACACAGGGAGACTCCATCTCAAAAAAAAAAAAAAAAAAATTAGGAAATTCTTGATACAGATATTCTGTGGCCCTCTTATTTGGGAATTTCTCAGTGTATGCAGTCTGATAATTACCTTAACCATACTTATTTAACATTTAAAGAACTGCTTTTGCTTTTGTGAAGGAGTAATACCTTGATTTATGAAATTAAATCCATAAAACTTATGAAAGATTCAAATAAAATGATTAATAGTTTTAATAACTACCAGAAACATAACAAAGGATCAAATAAAATTTGAATTTAATATGGGAAGTGGCATTGCTTTCACTCATTTTTTAAAATGCAGTTTTGCTTTTTTAAAATGTAGTGTATCTTAAACGCTATACTCAAGTTATCACAGGTGATTAAAAATAGCTGCCAGGTGTCCTGTTCAGTAGATGGGAGCAAAATCAACTTAAATAAAAGTAAAGGCCCAGAGGTGCTCTCTTTGGCTAGCAAAAAAAAGCCATCTGCCACAACAAAAATAACCTAAATGTCTGGTTCTTCTACTGTTTATTTAAATGACAGAAACTAAGTTTGCTTAGCCAAGATCATAGCTACAACAGGATTAACCTATCTTCAAGTGGGGGAAAACCACCTATCATCTTGTTTACTCAAAAAGCCTCCTTAGGGCGTAGGTTGCAGTGAGCCGAGATCGCGCTACCGCACTCCAGCCTGGGCGACAGAGTGAGACGCTGTCTCAAAAAAAAAAAAAAAAAAAAAGCCTCCTTAGATCAGAGAAGCAAGAAGTGAAACATTGGAGTATTCGAGTAAAATAAAGATAGCATTAGCTTTCCAGAGGGCACAAACGTTAAAAGGCCAGAGTGGATGATAACACATTACATAACCAAATGTTTTAAATTTTCAATTTATATGTTTCATGTCTATCATCAAAAAATGTATACATGCAAAAAATTATTTCCAATCAAAAAAAACTTCCTTTTAATAGAACCTAAAAATTACTACAATCTTATGGATTCTGTCTAAGGCATAATACAGCTTCACATATAGAAGGGAATTCAGTATCTTCAGTTATACATTCTTTCAAGGTCCATAATCTTTCAAATTTCTAAATTAACAGAAATTACATAAAGGGTTAATACAGTCCAACTCTTATTCTCTGCTCATGCCAAGCATCATTAAAATAACACACATTTATCTTTTAGCCTGTGAAAGGCACTGTGTATTCTCAACTACTAAACACTTTACCTTTGCAGCAAGCAACAGTCCAATTTTGTCAGCTTCAGCCTCCAATTTTCTGCTGTATGGTCTATTAAACACATACTAAGAAGAAACAGGACAGAAAATCTCCATTAAGACAATTTATTTGATTACAAAGGGAGTAACAAGGAGAGGTATTTTTAAAATGTTTCACGGAGTATATAGGATAAAGTTCTTATACTCTGTCTACTAACATTAAAATAACTCCATGATATAAAATATAAACACAGTCTTTATTTTCTTGATTAGAAATTAATACTTTAAAAACATGATAAGAATAGAAGTCATGCCTATAAATTTCTAGACAGTCTGTAGTATAAGTAATTTACTTCTATTTTTCCAATTATAGTCTCCACCTACTGAGTACAGGATTCACTAAGAAAGTTTATTGATGAAGGCTTTTAATATGGTCAAGGAATATTTTGACCTTGCAGTTTAAAAATGAAATCAAGAAAATGTAGGTATGTAATAACCAATGACACTACTAGACAATTTATTTCAGTACAAAAATTAACCATATAGCAGAATGCTCTTTCTTTGATAAATTAACTTAATTTTCTTTTTCTTTTCTAAGTATTGATTAGCTGGAAAAATGAAATTTTCTTCTGACTTCAATAAAAAACACACATAGATATAGTAACTTTAATTTTCCTAATTACTTGTATTTATATGAATGCTTTCCAGTTAAATTCTAATTTTCAGTAAGTACTAAAACTTTGTAGGAGATGAGTCAATAGGGACGACTTTTGAGAAAAGAGCTATTAATTGGGGAAGCAATCTTTCAAAGGTAGCCACATGTCTGTGATGGCCTGAAATAATATAATAAATCTGATATACAGTATGTGACCATTAGAAAGACTTTCTTACTTTTCAATCATGTCTGTTTTAGGCCGATAAAGTATCTCATATACTGCTTTCACTCTTCATGACAGGCTGCAGGTGCCCCCATCAAGTCTATTGATAGCATATGGATTTAAAACTTTGACTTTAAAAGAAGAAAAACTTAAGTTCAAGTCCAAATACTGCTAACTTATTGTTAACCCTGAGCTAACTGTTTAACCCCACTAAGTCCAGTAGTAACTTATGTAACACGGAACTAGTAACAGTGCCAAGCAAACATAACAGTTCATATTTATTGAGTCCTTACTTTGTGCCAGGTACTATGCTAAGTGCTTTATATAAATGATTCTAAACTTAGTGTGATTTTGTCCTCCAGGGACATTTGTAAGTGTTTGGAAATATTTATGACTGTCATAACTGAGAGGAAGGAGAGCTATTGGCATCCAGGGGATGGGAGTCAGAAATGCTACTAAACATCCTACAGTGCACAGGACAACTCCCCTGCAACAAAGAATTATCCAGTCCAAAGTGTCAGTGGTGCTGACATTGAGAAATCCTGCTTTAAATGTATCACTCAGTCCTCACGACAAATGAGTGTCAGCAACTCCCACTCCCGAATGACTTCACTATCAACATTCCTCTTAGCTCTCCAATCACAGTGAGCAACTTTCTAGAGAAAAACCTCTACTTGTCACCAAAATTATTGAGGGGACTTGATTTAGGGAAAAAAAATTCAAATAGAATCATTCCTACTTTATTTTCACTGAAGAATTACAATGAAGTGGTAAATTTATCAAGTATTTCAAGAAAGAAATAGCTACGTTATCTTTCTTATGATCAACTCTGCTGATTCCATTACAGAAAAAGCAATCTATAGATAGATGTGGAACATAACTACATTAATTCTTTTAATTTCCCGGCAGGTCAGTGACAGAAACAGAATTCAAAATATGAGGTCCTATAACCTATGCAATAGCCATTCTTTTGTTTTCTCTTTAAGAACCCTTACTTCAATATAAATGAACCAAATGATATGGCAATAGTGAGTAACAGACTAAGTTATCCAACCTCAAAAACAGTTTGTCTCCCTGAATTTTGCACATTAGATTTAAACAGCACCCAGATGGCACTCTGATGGGTGCTCCACAAATCATTAAATAAACAAATAGCAGACTGTTCATAAACAATCAAACCTCCGGGGACAAGAGGAAATATTCAAAGAAAGACGTAAAATAAAATAATCATGGTTAACAAAGTAGTTATAAAGATGGCAAATCTATTTTCAGTAGTACAGTGTTTTGAACAAAATGAGGCACTTAATAAATTTTTGAGATGATTATTATACATAAGCACTAAAAACAAAAGTTAACAAACACGTAGTAAGACTTTCCTTTCAATATTTACAAAGCAATGATAGTTTAACAGAGTAAGAAGGAAGGAAGGGTGGTAAAGCAGCTTTAGCCAATTCTGTGCCCATTAAAGTTCAAAGGTTTTAACAGTGCCCCATCAAAATGCAAATATAGTTGGTTCTCTGTATCTGTGGATTATGCATCTGGTGGATTCAACCAATTTGGATAGAAAATATTTACAAAAACAATAAAAACAAACAAAAATATATATAGTAAAATAACTATTTACATAACATTTACATTGAATTACAAGTAATCTAGAGATAAAGTATATGAGAGGATGTGCACAGTTACATGCACATGCCATGCCATTTTTTATCAAGGACTTGAGCATACTCAGATTTTAGTATCCACGAGAAGTACTGTATACCAAGGGATGGCTGAATTTTGGGGTAGGGGGAGTCATTCAGTTACTACGAAAGGAAGGGTCAGTGACTGGGTTTTCTCTCTGCAAAACCAATAAATATATTTTTTAAAATTATATTAGCCACAAGTTTCCAAGCCCTTCTAACTCATCCATGCCCATCATTTGAGAGATGCAGCTTCCTTAATTTAAATATTTATACATAAGAATATCCCCCAAAAATGAGAAAACATAAGACACCAAAAATTAGTACCCGTATATTTCAAAGTAAAATGTGATTTGCTGCTTTACAGTAGTATTAAAATATCCTCACCACAGACTATGATAAACTCAAGTTGTCTCAGGCTTACCTCTTGCAATTTAGACTGTATCCACTGGCCCAAAAGGGCCAAACTATCCCGAGGACAAATGGCCCAAATCATTGTGAGGAAAATCATACCTAGGAAATCCAATAAATGAACCATGCCAGCCTTTTCTGCCTGAGAATAATGGAAATAATAAAATTTACATTTCATACATCAAGATAGTATATGCTTACATTTTCTAGTTCATTATGTGTTACAATTACCTGACCTCCACCTAAGATTGAGAGTTCTCTTTTTCTTCTTTTGCTTATTCTTTCCTGGTCTGTTTTTCACTTCCTTTGTTTACTTACATACCTATTCATTCATTTAACTAGTATCTACTGAGCCACTTACTATTAGTGAGATATTACCCTGAAGTTTCTTATATTAACAAGCATAATAACCTTGTGAAATAGGTACAATTATCCCTATATTTATAATAATGAAACTGAGACAGAGGTTAAAAGAGTTGCCCAAATTCACACAGCTATTACTAAAGAACCAGAAATCAAACCCAGTAAGTTTTAGTTTTTAATTTAGTTGCATCATTTAAAAAAATCAAATACATGTTTTATTTTACTAATGTTTTTGGATAAAGATTAAACACTACCTAACATAAGAAACACAACAAGAAAAAACTCAGAAAAAGACTGGAAGTTTATTTTAAATAAAGGTATTCTGATCTTCAAGGCCTAATATATGAAACATTATTCATTTATACAAGTTTGTAATTTTTAAGTCTAGTATTTCTCTTGAGAGAATCGGGTTCTATGAATTTTTGTATGTACTTATATCAGTTACCAAAAAAGATTTTTCGTAAAATAGTTGTTTTGAGTAGTAATATCTAAATATAAGTTTAATGAACTGGATTGTTCATGATTTGCCATTAAAGTTGATGAGTAAATGTTAATGTTGTAAATGTTAACGATTATCAGCTGAAACTGATAAAATAGCAATCCTTATTTGAATGTATGAAAAATGCCTGAAAACTAAAAACAATGACTTAGAATATTGTCCCTTAACAAATATTGTGCCCTCACAAAACATACTTTACCTCATTATATGTGTCACATTACTTTGCCTCAAAACACAACTGTGTGTTTTGAAAAACAATTATGAAATTATTTTAACATGAGAAAGTGAAACTCAAAATAAGGAAGTCGTTATAGAAGAGAAAGCTCTTGTTAATAAAGAATATAATTGCTATTATACAGTCTTAGAAAACTAGAAATACACACAAAAAAACCTGTATTTGTAGAATGAAGAAAACCTAAAAGCCTAGATAAAATAAAAATTGAGACTCCCAAAAGACAAAATCTAGTGCTGACAATATTTCAGATCTCTGCAAAAACATATTAACTATTTTCCATTTTAAGGCTGCTGTTTGCTTTTTACATCTCATCTATTGTTTCCGCACTGATAGAGCTGACGATACACTGAATAGGAGGCACTGAACTAGATGCCTGAAAATCAAATGGACTGAATGGTAACACCTTTCCAATGCTAAAATGGACAAAACTGATTGATTTTGCAGTTATGAAGCCATTACTTGAAAGATATTAGAATGCATATAATAACACTATTTCTACTGCTTAGTGTGTATTTGTTTAAGAAAAAAAGATTTTTTTTTTTCTTTGAGACAGTGTCTCACTCTGTCACCCAGACTGGAGTGCAGTGGTACAATCATGGCTCACTGTAGCCTTGCTCTCCCAGGCTCAAGCAATCCTCCTGCCTCAGGCTCCAGAGCAACTGGAACTACAGGCATGAGCCACCACGCTCAACTAATTTTTAAATTTTTTTTATACAGACAGAGTCTATGTTGCCCAGGCCAGTCTCAAACTCCTGGGCTCAAGCAATCCTCCTGCCTCAGCCTCCAAAAGTGCTGGGATTACAGGTGTAAGCTACTACACATAGTCAAGAAAAAATGTTTTGCAAGAAAAAAAGGAGGTAATTACTCTTGATGCTTCAGAAAAACACCTCATCTTATTACTACTTTAAGGAATAGGTAGAATTTGAGATGACTTTTAGAAGGATTAGAATCATTATCATTTCCATTTGAAGTTGTTAACGTTACTTGTATTTCTGATTTAGCATTTCAGTCATTTCACTTTTTACCTTTGTGTTTACAATTAAAATAATACTTCTCTCTAACGTAGACAAAAGAGCCATTCACATTTTTAAATGAGTAACAATTTAAAAATGTGTGAAACAGATGTGTTATTTTCTTTAACTCATATCAAGATGAACAGACATCTATTCACAGGAGCATACACCAATTCGAATTCTATGATCTATAAGAAAAGTGCTGCTAAAAACCAGGGAGCTGTGGTGAAAGGAAGAAACCCTGGACTAACATACAGAAGACCCAGGTTAAAGTCCCAATTCAGTTACTTTGTCAGGTTAGTCATGTTACTGAATCTTTCTAAACATTGGTTTTCGCTTATATAAAACAGTAATAATAAATACATACCTCATTAGGTATTAAAATTATGAATGAGAAGCTACATATGCTAAAAAGCTGAGTAAACTGCAAAACAGCAAGGTATCATTATTACTCTGCATTAATTATACATGACACATCATTCTAGACATTTTCAACGATGCTCCAAGCTATCCTCTGAGAATGAATAAAAAAAGATGATTTACCCATTTAAATAGTAATATCACTTCCCCACAATTAATTTTCTGACTAGATTACAAGTATATTAATAATTATAGAAAGTTTAAAATTTAATTTGAAATAATTAGGGGTTGAGAATAATTACTTTTTAGCAAAAGAGAGCAGTGATAAAAATAGTATTTAAGAGAAATTTAATTATTCAGTATCAAATACTAAAGACCATAAAAATTCTCAAAATTAGTCAAACACATTTTTTGAAGTAGCAGATTAAGGCAATTCCTCAAAACTAAAATTCCACCATTAAAAAAAAAATGAAAAAAAATCAATTCTTTAAAAGACTTTACTTGTTAACTTCAAAGCAGTTTTTCCAAACCTGAACATTCATTTTAGGTACTTACAGCATGTCCAAGTACTGCATGTGCTATTTCATGGCCCAGAAGGAAAGAAAGTTGATGAATATCCGTTACACTATTTAAAAATCCAGTGAAAACAAACATTTGTCCATTCTGCACCACAAAGAAAATAATATAAGCAATTAGAAGGTAATACAAAATAAGGACAATAAATTTAACAATTACAATGAGTTTGAGAACATTTACTTACTGGAAGCACAAAGGCATTAATAACTGGGGAATCAACCACATGAACAGTCCAATTGATCTGAGAGATCCCTGGAACATCTTTATTGGATTCAATTAGATGACAAAGCACTTCTTTAACAGCCAGGTATCGGGCATCTTTCTCAGTCAGCATATGATTTTTAAATTCTTCCATCCACTGAAAGATTAAAAATCACTTCTTATTTCAAAAGAGCACTACAAAATGTTTACTCTGCTTCACGGAAAGTTATATGGCTACTTATTGTTGAACACTGTAACTATCAATTATATAAAAGTCTGCATATATTAAGCACTCAAATTTCTCAAATCTGAATTATTCATGCAAAGGCAATGTGGGTTCTCACAAAGGAATACATTCTAATACTAAGATTTTTTATGATTGAATACATTGACATCAAAATTTCGCTCTTTTGATTAACCTTCAAATGAATACTTAAGTATTATTTCTACTTTCCTAAACATTTTAGAAAACACTGCCTAGGCCAGGCAAGATGGCTCACACCTGTAATCCCAGCACTAAGGGAGGCCAAGGCGGGAGGGTCACCTGAGCTCAGGAGTTTAAGACCAGCCTGGGCAACATGGTGAAACTCCATCTCTACCAAAAACACAAAACATTAGCCAGGCATAGTGGCATGCACCTGTGTTCCCAGCTGTGTGGGAGGCTGAAGTGGGAGGATTGCTTGAGCCTGGGAGGCAGAAGTTGCAGTAAGCTGAGATCTCGCCACTGCACTCCAACATTAACCTGGGGGATAGGGTAAGACCCCATATCAAAAAAAAAAAAAACAAAAAAAACTGCATAGAGAACTTAAGATTTCACCTAAGTAAAACACACAAGAAAATTACATTTACAATGCATTGAACCAAAAAACACTTTATACTTAAAAAGAAAGTTAAACTTTTACCAAAATAGATATTTCATTAATTTTAAGGTGTTTTATTCACACAAATTGAAAGGAAATTACTGAAATCTCAGAACTAATGAGCATATCACTGTCTCTACATGATGCTGATTAAAACTAGCCGCCATAGAAGATACTTTTTCTGATGTTATATTAATGAGAGCTCTTTCAAGCATACTGAGATAAGTACAGATGTTCTGAAATATTACTTTAACTTTCATAAAATGTATACTTTCTTTCACTTAAGAATCAAGAAGTGGATGGGCACGGTGGCTTATATCTGTAATCCCAGCACTTTGGGAGGCCGAGGCGGGTGGATCACGAGTTCAGATTGAGACCATCCCGGCCAACATGATAAAACCCTGTCTCTGCTAAAAATACAAAAATTAGCCAGGCATGGTGGCGCATGCCTGTAGTCCCAGCTACTTGGAAGACTGAGGCATAGGTGCTTCAATTGAGAGGCGGAGGCTGCAGCGAGCCGAGATAGCACCACTGCACTCCAGCCTAGGTGACAAGGTGAGACTCTGTTTCAAAAAAAAAAAAAAGAATCAACAAGCTAGTAACTTTTCTCCTTGAGATGCATTACAAAGATATTATTTTATATTATAGAACATGAACTTACCAGTAGTCTTTATCTTAAAGACTTTTAAAAAGCATAATCCACCAATGTGAACTGCCTAAAACAAAAACCCCCATTATCAACTCTCCTGAAGTAAATAAAACAAGAATATATGTAATCAGAGCACTTTATAATATCCCTATAAGAACATGTATTTAAATTTTCCTATGACACAAGTATAATTGTAGCTAAAATAAGAAAAAAGACAAATGTATCTATGTCTATACGGAATTTTTTTAAATGTCTTATTAGGAATGTGAGTGGTAAAAGATGCACTAATACTAGGCCTGTCTCAATCTTTCCAGAACAATTTCCTCAAACTTGCCTCTGACTAAATCCTAAGAAACATCTCAAGTCTCCGTATATAGTCTACTATGAGATTGGTCTTACCTTGATTAAGAGAAATTTTTATACTAAGAAAACATTATTTCTTTTTTCATAGTAGCTTTCCATTGATAAACTCAGAAGTTGATTTGGAATAAAAAGACTTAACCATGCTGGGTGTGGTGGCTCACACCTGTAATCTCAGCATTTTAGGAGGCCAAGACAAGTGGACTACCTGAGGTCAGGAGTTCGAGACCAGCCTAGCCAACATGGTGAAACCCCATCTCTACTAAAATACAAAATAATTAGCCAGGTATGGTGGTGTGTGTCTGTAGTCCCAGCTACTCAGGAGGCTGACGAAGGAGAATAACTTGAACCTGAAGGCAGAGGTTGCAGTGAGCCAAGATCCTGCCACTGCAGTCCAGCCTGGTTTAAAAAAAGACTTAACCATGCCAAAGCTGTCGAGTGAGGCTACTGGACACAAATTCAACAAATATTGAGTGACAGGTCATATAACATGTATATGTGCTATAAACTGGAGAGAAAATGATGACCTCTGTCCCTAAGAAACTCACTAGGGTACAAAATGTTTAACTATCTAAATTATTATACTTTCCAAAGAGGTAAGTCTTCTAAATTCCAACTTCATTTTGGATTCAAAAAATATAATAAATTGCTAAAACTGATGCTTAGAAAAAACGGTCTTATATTACTTGATTTTCAAAGTAAAAAAATTCTGACTATAAATCTATTTATTCAATACATATATACTAAGCACTATACTTACACACTGTGTATTAAAATACAACCATAAACAAAACAGGTAAGATCCCTGCCCCCATGAAGCTTAATCTAATATGGGAAACAGACTATCAAATAAATAATTATGCAAATAATTGTTACTCTCATGAGTGCTTTGAAGGAAAAGTATAGCACGCAGAGAAAAAAAGCCTAGGAGACCTAACCCTAGTATGGTCAAGCAATGGGCACAATTACAAATGAGCTGGTTCATAATTCAGACGGTATGAAGGATACCTCCTAGGGCCTCATCCAGTTCCCCTGCGTAACCCAGTCTGGATAATCAAGGAAGGCCTTCCTGAGAAAGTGACATTTAAGGTGAGATGTGTTAAACAGGAGTCAGCTGGGTGAATGCTAGGAAAAGCAATGTAGGCAGCAGTAATACCAGGTGCGAAAGGTCTGAGGCCTTTTGGAAAAAAAATGCTAACTTCATATCAAATACTAAAATTAAAAAGCAATGTATCTTTCATATTTAAGAAACTTTCCTACTTTAAGTGTTATATTAAGCAGTCTAATTAAAAACAATTCTTACTACTTACTGCTTCATATTCCAGTTCTGATAAAAGTCTGAACTGCTCTTTCCCCAATAATAGCAGCTTGCTTCTTCCTGTGATTGGACTTACTTCCAGGTGAGTAAAATAAAACACCACAAAGAGCAATCCAAAACTACTCAAACCAAGGACTAGCTTCCATTTATTCTTCCTTATACTTTCTTTAAATAGTTCCTTCTTGTTAGGGGGAAGTGCCTGCCACCATTTCCTTATGCCCCTAAAGCAAAAAGAAAAATTCAAAGTTCTGATCATCGTTCCAGCACATATCACTAAAGCTCAAATGCATACACTAGAATTTTATGTCCTCAAACACTTGAATTTGTGTGATATATTTTGCTGAACACATGGCTTTTCCAATTAACAAGGTTCTTAGCTAAATGATGAAAAATAATTAACTATGTAAATTTACAATTAAATATTCTAAGGCTCATCGAAATTTTCTTCTTCAGCTATTTTAAGGATAAACACTAAATGAGATGCTAGTTTACTATAACTACCACTGGTTAACATTTATTAGTATTTAATACATGCAAAATACATATGTATGTATCTATACATATATATGTGTATGTATGTGTCTATATATACACATATATATGTGAGCTGGTTCCTTACATCTATATTATATATAGATATATATGTGTGTGTGTATGTGTGTGTGTGTATATATATATATGTATATATACACGTCTGTGTACATACATATATCTATACACACGTGTGTATATATACATATATATGCTCTATATATGTATATATGTAGAGTATTTTGCATGTATTAGATATGTTTGCATGTATATATATATATGTTATTTAATCTTCATAATAACCCTGTGTCAGAAGAGAAAACTGTTAAGTAACTTGTCCATGACCACAGAGGTAATAGAAGGAAAACCGAGCAATGAAGGCAATGACATTCCAGAGTCTGACCACTTAACCACTTAATAGGGATAACTGTCTAAATAAATATGTAAGAGGTTACAGTACAATAAATCTATACCTGAAACCACTATTCTATTTTTTCCCACTTCTCCTCAGACCTCCAACACAATCTGCCAGTGCTTCAAGGTACAAGGGAAACTACCTCAGCACTGATTTTGGAAATAAATAGTGCTCAGTAGCAGAAACTCCACTATCCTCTTTAGAACATGAAAAAGGAAAGATAATAATAAGATCATAAGTACTCATTATATAAGAAAGTAGGAGATTTTATAGATTACATCTGAGAAGGTCCAATTTCTATCAAGCAGTAATACTCTCTACTGCTTAGCAGTGTTCAGATACATTTTGACAACAAGCAATGTTTTCAATACTGAGGCTAAATATTTCCTTGTGTTGATCTATAAAATAACAACAAAAATTTAGCATTCATACATCATTCTCTTGACAGAAATTTACAAAATAACTTCTTAAAGTTATCTCTATTTTGTGAAGTGACACACCCCAATGCCTCTTTACACAAAGTGTTTCAATGTAAAGGGACATACAACAAACTATCAAGTGTACTTATTTCCTATTTAAAACCTTACGTGACATTATCATTTATTTAAAATGTATGAAAGACATTTTTCATTCTAAATGAAAAATTTTAGGTGATTAACAATAGTAACAAAAACAAAAAGTTAAAAAATAAATCATTTAAAAGAATGAGAACATATCAGAAATCATCCCAAGAATCTGGGATGAGCGTATTACTTCAACCAAGAGCCAAAACAGCTGTATCTCTTCCGGATGCCAACACCAAATCATGAAGAACACAATAAATTACAAATAGAAGTTATTGGTTTTTGATCAAAAGCAAGCTGGTTTGGTTCATACGGAAATTAAGAAGGCTAGAAGGAGCTTCACAGTCATCAAACACAAGAAAGCTTTCTAAGGAAATAGTGATTAGCTTTCTTCAATCTCCATGAAACAAATGAGAGAAAAAAGATTAAAGTACTACCAAGCTGTGAAAATACTATTATAAAGGACCACCAAGAAAAAACAAAGGTGTGTTGGGAACAGAAAAAAAAGAGAAGCATTAATGATTTAAGAGTTAACTAGGAATGAGCCCATCCTTATATAAGCAAAGTTCCTCAGTTTTATGATTTACTGCCTCAAATTGCACAAATTTAAAAAAAAAAGTAAGTACTCTTCTTATATATGAGCTATAACCAACATTTCTGATCCATATATCTTAAGATTCTGCAATCATAAGATTTTCTAAATGTCTATACGATATGTAAGAATAACTTTTTAAAGAGATCAAATTTCTATACCATAAATTAATATGCAACAATAGGTCCTAATCCTGTTTCAAGATTATTAAACCATACATAACAAAACTGAGTAGGATCTATTGTTTAGAAACTTTGTTTTGAGCTAAAGGGGGAGAGAGAGGGGATCTAATGAGGTTTCTTTAAAAGTCCAGTTTTATAAATAAAAAAGTTGTTTCTAAAAGTTAATATAACACAAAATATTAATGCAAAAAGTTAATACAAAAGTTTATTTTTCTAAAAAAAGCATTTTACCTGCCTACAATGATTGCAAGTAACTTCTGCACTGGTTTAAGAATCATCAACAAGAGAGGAACTGGAGCAGCTTGAAACCGTGGAGAGGTGTGGAAATTCCTAACAGCTCTTATAGGAGAAGGGCTTCGAGGATGCAATACTAACAGACTAGGAACCGCTGTAACTTTTTTTATTAATAGCTGTCTTGAAAAAGAGTCCTTCCATACAGTATATTTGCTGGCATTCATCCAAATTTCCTTACTTTTGGTACTTGAGAGGTATCCTGTTTTTTTGTTGTTAAAAGTCCTATAAAAATGAAAGTTTCCAGGCAGAAAAGTCCACCTATCACACTGATTTACTCCCAGTCCCTCAGACTTATTTACTATATGGTTAACTTGTACTTGGTGACAGCCCTGTGAGGTTGATGCTGACGTGTTACATTTTCTCCAGTTAGCCCGTGAATTAAACCGGAAGAAAACATGGTTTCTAACAGCAGACTGCAATCCACTGATGAAGCTCATACTTTTTACTTGATTACCTGAAACACAAAAAATAAACTGTTAATATCTGCGGAAAATATTTACTTACCAAACTGGGAATATAACACTTATTAAATAGGTGTGTCAGTTGTTCTAACACATCTCTGGCTAAATTACCTTGGGTTTCAACTCATCACCCCTACAGCAACGCCTTCTAGCAAGATAAACCAGAGTATACATAACATTACATTTACTATGCAATGTGTACTTTAGAGGCTTGAATTTTTTTCATTTCATTTTTAATTTTTAGTTAGGAAAGGGCCATTTTTATTTTAATGGCAAATTATTCGAGCAATAAGAAATGGATTAGATAAAAACAACAGTAAAACTTTATCCAGTTTGCAGTAACTGGGGGGAAGCATGAAACCAAAAAGTAAAATCTGACTTACAAAATGCCCTGGACATTAGGTGGTAAAGAACAGCGATTCCTGAGAGATGGGAAACAAAAGACTATGACAACCAATTGCCCTAGCTCATTGCCTGGAGAGTGCTTCCAGGTCACAATGCAGATAGGTGGAGCCCAGTGGTTTCCCTAAATCGAAACGATAAAGCTGGGAGGTCAAGTAAACCAAGGCTGCTAGAGCTCACAGCACAAAAGACAAGAGAAGACAAGCTGCACTGAGAAAGAACTCCAGAGCTCTGCAGAGAATTACCTTCTCATATTCCGCTGAGTCCTGTCTGGGCATATGCGTAAGAAAATCCCCTGGAGCTGGGAAAGGACCAACTGAAAAGACTGGAGGGAACGATATACAGGGCTCACACAGGGCACAATATAGTGCCTATCCCCCCGCATCAAAGTGGAAAACCTTATCACTCATGGGTAGAGTACTCAGAAGGGTTTTGCCTCAACATTAGAGAAAGATTAGTCCTAGGCCAAAAGCTGCTCTGGCCCCACCGAACAAACATTACAAGCAACACCCAAAAAGTCAAATGCTTCCAAGCAGCAACTGCATCTCACAAAAAAACAAACAACAACAACAACAACAAATTCATGAACCAGTATCAGGACACAAAACTATTTAGCACTTAACAAGGTACAATTTACAAGTAAAAATCACCAAGCATGCAAGAAGCAATATATGTGACCCATAATTAGAAGAAATTTCAATCAGTGGAAACTAACTCCTAAATAAACAAATAACAGCATTAGTAGACAAGAACGTTAGTTATTATAACTATATTCCACATGTTTAAGAAGCTAAAGGAAAATATGAGCATGTTATGCAGAGATATGTAATATATTTCTTTAAAACGCCTACACTAAACTTTTAGACAAGAAAACTGTAAGATCTAAGATGGAAAACATACTGGATGAAACTAATAACAGATTAATGTTGTAGAAATGAAGATTTGTGACCTTGAAGACGTAACAATAGAAACCATCTAAAATGAAATGCAGAGAGAAAATACAATGAAAAAAAAAGGCACAGAGCCTCAATGAGATACGTAATAACTTCAAGTGGCCCAATATTCATCTAACTGAAGCCCCCAAGGGGGGGGGGGGGGGGGGGAGGAGTGCTGACAGAAAAAAAATACTTGAAATAATGGCCAAAAATTTTCCAAACTTGATGAAAACCACAAACCCACAAAGTTTAACAAACCCTACACAAAAGAAAAAAAACTGCAAGGCACACAATTTCTTAAAATCGATAAACGATAAAATCTTAAACTTGACATCTTAGATGAACTGTATAAATTCGTTGGAAAACACAAAAAAGGCTGGTCACAGTGACACACATCTGTAATCCCAGCACTTTGGGAGGCTGAGGCAGATGGATCACATGAGGCCGGGAGTTAGAGACCAGCCTGACCAAGAAGATGAAACCCCGTCCCCACTAAAAATACAAAAATTAGCCTGGTGTGGTGGTGCTCACCTTTAATCCCAGCTACTCAGGAGGCTGAGGCAGAAGAGTCACTTGAACCTGGGAGGCGGAGGTCGCAGTGACCCGAGATTGTGCCACTGCACTCCAGCCTGGGCAATGGCGGAGCAAGGCTCTGTCTCAAAAAAAAAAAAAGAAAGAAAAACACAAAAAGGTATATCCTATGATTCCATCTCTGTAATATAAACTGCAAAATAGGCAAACTAATCCAGAGTGACAGAGAGATCAGTGACTGCTTGAGGAGTGGGAGGAAAAAAGGGGCAGTGGAGCAGATTCCAAAGATTGGCGCTTGCCTGCAATCCCAGCTACTCAGGAGGCTGAGGCAGGAGAAGCGCTTGAACCCAGGAGGTGGAGACTGCAATGAGCCAAAACTGTGCCACTACACTCTGGCCTGGGCCGCAGAATGGGAACTTGTCTCAAAATAAATAAATAAATAAATAAATAAATAAATAAATAAATAAATAACAGATTGAGAGAATCTAAATATGAATTGACTTTTAAGTTGTTTTAGGTAATTATTACTTATTTTCTTAGGTGATAATAATATTGTGATTATGTTGGTGAATATTTATTGCTGGGATACGTGGTGAAGGATTTATGATAAACAAAACTCTTTCAAATTGTACAGCAAATGTGCACACACACACAGAGGATGGGGACATAAAATCACTAAATAGAATATCAGCAATCACTGTACCTAAGTGATAGTTATATACGTGTTCCTTACATTTTTCCTCAATTTTTTCTGCATGTTTCAAAATCTTCATATAAAAGTTATGGAAAAAATATGTAAAACTCAACCTAAACTAATACAATATTATCTAGAAAGATGCTTCAGGACTACCAGTTTTAATAAATAGTACTACCTATACATCAAGCTATTTTTAAATTACTCAAATTTATTTTTTATGTAATTTATACATTCAGCCCTTGCATTGTTAATGTATAATGTGAATAAAGGGCATGCTAAGTTAAACATTAACTTTGAATTAACCCTTTCTGAAATACTACCAATTTTAAATTAGTAAAGTCTAAGGTGATATATATTAGTTTGACATTATAAACAAGCTACTTTGTTTTTACTTTTCTGAACCAACATGAAAAGTGGTAAAATAATTTTATGCCCAGAAATCATTTCAAAATGCATACTGGAGTAGCTAGTAAGGTTTTCATTGGCTAGATAGCATGAGAGTTACGCAGCACAGAATATAGTCCTGGCCTCATGGATGTTATAATCTAGTTGAGATTATAAAACTGAACCTAAGTAAAACTATTAGGGGATAATAAAATTCAGTTACTAAATACTACATACTGTATGCATTTTTAAAGAGATATCCATGAGTAGCTGAAGAGTTCAGGAAGGCAGCAATTATTTTTCATGCCATTTATTGGCAGATGCAGAAAGACAAAAAACAAATTGAAAGAACCATTTTAAATGGGAAAGTGTATTAACGTTTAAATGTAAAGTCTTCTAGAAGTCAAACGGCAAAAAAAACACAAGCCTTTCCTTTCCCTCAAATCTGATGATTTACTGTAGTAGATAAGCTTCAGACACTTGACCAAGCACAACTCCTTTTTCAAATGTGCATCTTACAGCCTCAGTTTAGGGGATGGGCCTAGATGACCACATTCATCCCCAACAACCCCTACCAGAAGCTACAGAGTTAGGAGTTGGGATTTGACACTAAAAAGATTTTACGTAAAACAGTATTCTGCACAGGAACATAAGGGCATGTGCAAGCTGGGTCTACAGCAGGTGCTATGCCCAAACAAAGCAATATGTAAGCAAGAACTACAAACGAAAAGCTTAAAAAAAAAAAAAAAAAGTGGATCCACAGAAAAGACAATGGTATGTATGTGTAGACAGAAGGTAAGTGAGAGACTACAAAGCCAAAGAGAGCATTAGAGAATAAAACCTCCCTGACTCCCATGAAATCAATGTATTTCCTAAATTTATTTGAGCTTCTTGAGCTTTTACTTTATCCCAAAACTAATGCTCTTTCTTCAGTGAGTTTCTATATTCTGCAAATGATCTCTAAGACATTCACATGGTATAAAACAGCTACACATTTGTTTTCGTAAATCGATAGCTTTTTAATATTATACACGTCGTTTACTAGAACTAGCTGAGGGATCCTTCTACAATCTGCAAAGCCAAATTTACAAATTTTCAACATTTAATCAGTTCCAGAAATACTGGATTATCTCTACGGCAACTTTAGCATCCAAAATATCTCGGCCCACATTAAATCAGTCATGTCAATTCCACCTCCTTATCTCATTCTAGCCCTTCCTGGGCTTGTGGTCTTATGTTGTTGCACTACACACCTTATCTCCCTGTCTATTTCACCACCAACCCCTCTTATTCCAGTTTGACCCCAAACTAGACCTAAAGCACTCTTTCTAAAACGCAAACCTACCCCCACAATTTACATTAAGAATCCTACCCCCAAAATTTACATACAGTCTTACCCTGATAAATACCAACTAACCATTTAAAAGATGATGTGGGGCGGGGCATGGTGGCTCATGCCTGTAATCCCAGCACTTTAGGAGGCCGAAGCAGGCGGATCACGAGGTCAGGGGTTCGAGGCCAGTGTGGCCACATGGTGAAATCCCGCCTCTACTAAAAATACACACACACACACACACAAAATTAGCCAGGCACAGTGACACTTGCCTGTAATTCCAGCTACTCTGGACGCTGAGGCAGGAGAATCAATTGAACCCGGGAGGTGGAGGATGCAGTGAGCTGAGTTCGTGCCACTGCACTCCAGCCTGGGCAGCACAGCAAGACTCCATCTCAAAAAAAAAAATTTAAAAATTAAAATAAAAAAATTTTAAAACATGACATAGTGGTCTATAAATCTTTAGAAGATTTAAAAGAGAGCAATCTATGGCAAAGGGATATGCAAATTTAAAAATAATAATAAATGCTACCTGAAAACTTCCGTATAGCAGAGGTAGCAAACTCAAATGTCTAAAGAAGACCTTTCTGCAATGATGGAAATGTTCACAGCTGCACTGTCCAATAAGGTAGTCCCTACATGCGGCTACTGAGCATTTGAAATGACTAGCGCATCTGAGGAATAAAAGTTCAATGGCCATATGTGGCTAGTGTCTACTGTACTGCACAGCACAGGTTTGTAGGGTCCAGTATAGGTGAGTATCAGCAAAGCGATACTGATGTGAATGTGGATTCATGCCCATCTAAAGGAGGTACAAACGGTATGATGGAATTTGAACTTGCAGTGACCAAATGATTCAAAACTTTCAAGTAAAACCAGAATTTCAGATTTTTATCAATTTTTAAATGCTGGCAAAGAACTTAAACTTAATTTTAACAACCTTGACCAAACATTCAGATTTTGTGTTTTTGACATCTGAACTGTATTACCATTCATTTATTCTAAAAATATTTAATGAGTGCCCACTAAATGCTAGGCCTCATTATGGATGTTAGAGATACTGCAGAGAATAAAATAGATTTTAAAAACCCTCCACAATTTGCAAAAATAGTAATGATAAAATATGCTAGTATATACAAAAATAAATACAACTATTCACAACTGTTTTGAATGGGAGGGTGGTGGTTGAAAGGGATTATTAGTATTTTCACCTTACATATTTCTGTGCAGTTCAAACTTCCACAGGATGTATTATTACTTTTTAAGCCTCCACTCAGGCAACTTTTTCTTTCTTTTTTTTTTTTTTTGAGATGGAATTTCGCTCTTGTTGCCCAGACTGGAGTGCAATGGAGCTATCTCAGCTCACAGCAACCTCTGCCTCCGGGTTCAAGCGATTCTCCTCTGCCTTCGGGTTCAAGCGATTCTACTGCCTCAGCTTCCCGAGTAGCTGGGATAACAGGCATGCGCCACCACACCCAGCTAATTTTGTATTTTTAGTAAAGATGGGGTTTTCTCCATGCTGGTCAGGGTGGTCTTGAACCCCCAACCTCAGGTGATCCGCCCACCTCAGCCTCCCAAAGCGCTGGGATTCCAGGTGTGACCCACCGCACCCGGGTGCAACTATTTCTGTAATTTCCTTTTATTTTCTTCCTTTTCGAGACAGGGTCTCACTCTGTCATCACTCAGGCTGGAGTGCAGTGGTGCCTTCTCGGCTCACTGCAAATGCAACCTCGCCTCTTGGATTCAAGTGATTCTTGTGCCTCAGCCTCCTGAGTAGCTGTGATTACAGGCGTGCACCACCATGCCTGGCTAATTTTTGTATTTTTAGTTGAGACAGGGTTTCACCACGTTGCCTAGGCTGGTCTCGAACTCCTGGTCTTAAGTGGCCTGCTCACCTTGGCCTCCTAAAAGTGCTGGCATTACAGGCCTCAGCTACCGCAACCAGCCAGTCCTGCTAATCTTTTAAAATTTTTTCTGTAGACACGGTGTGGCACTATGTTGCCCAGGCTGGTTTTTAACTCCTGGGATCAAATGACAGCATTGCATTGTGAAGTGCTGGGATCACAGTCAGGAGCCACCACGCCTGCACTTCCATTGGTTTTCCATGGCTTACATAAACTCCTTCATAGGGTAAACCAGGCCCTCCTAATACTCCTCGAAGCACCTTCCCCAAGCCTCCTTCACCCATTCCTAAATTCCAAACCCCCTGATTTCCTTACAGTCCTCAGAAAAAGGAAGGTCTCATCCCTATGGCTATGCACATCTATTTACACTCCTTAGCTCTGCTCATGACAAGCAAACTCCTTCTCATTTCTCATGACTTGAGTGAAAATTTTTACAAAGAATCCCACTGACACAGAAGGCATAAACAAAAGCCTCAACACCACCCGTATATAATTAAAATCATTATCATTTCTATCACTGACAACTAAGTGTCATTTTGACTAGAAACAGTGCCTGATAGTTTGTAATCCCGTTTATCCTTAAAAAAGGGTAAAGAAAGAAGGAAGAAATCTTTTCATGCATTTTCACGAAACCAATCACTAGACGACAGAGCACACAAGAAAAAAAAAATCAGGGCTGACACGTTCTCTTCAAAGAGCTGTGGCAGGTCAACAAACATAGCTGGCAGACTTCTAGGATTACAAAATTAATGATGTGAGAAAATTAAACAATTTGGATTGTTAGCCTCTAAGAACATTTCAGATCTTTAATTCTTTAAGTACCATCTCAGAATGAGCAAGTGCAGCACTCACTGGCACTCACAGCTGAAGCCTGGAAGACAGTTTTAACAACTCTTGCTGAAAATGACTATTTCTTCTCCAGTTTCTATGGAAACAGCTGTCAGATTGGCAAAAATAGGACATGTACTTTAAAATAATCATTCAAGCAAAGTACACACATGATGGAAGCCTTTAAAAAAGAATTGGACGGCAGCAGACTTGGTTCTTAAGCTTCCAAATGTCAGACTACACCCCTTCACCCTGGCTGAGAATGACAGAGATGAACCTAAATCCTTTTAACGAAGGTGGCATGACCTTGATCAACGCCTGAATGCCAAATAAGGGATTTTCATCTCCCTGGACTACAATTTCTTGCTGAGGATTGCAGGGCACAATAAAACTGTTGCTCCACACACAGGCAACATTTAAAGACTATACAGTGGGTTCTGTAAACGAGTTGACGAGGAAATTGTTAAAACTCCCCGGAACTGCTTAGACGGGGAATGTTCCGGTTTGCACAGCCGAGTTGAGGCAGGAAACGTGTTCAATTTCTCCTGGAGAGTCGGGGGCGGGGCGGGGAAGAGACGGAGGCCCCAGCCGGGGGGAGGCGGTCCCCTCTGGCTGGGGTGCCGGGTGCGGCGCCGGAATCCTCGCGGATGAGAAACGCCGCTCTGAGAGCGGAGCCGCTGAGGAGGGCGGGCTGAGGGCGAGGGTAGGCGGCCCCTGAAAGTACTGCCACGGCGCCAGACACACACGGTCCCCGGCGTGCCGCTGGCCGGGCGAGGGGAGAACCGGGCTCTCCCAGGACAGATCCCCTCCCTCTCCCGCCCCGGGGCCCCGCGTCCCGCCCCTCCACGCAGCCTCGCCGCCCACCCACGCCCCCTGCTGTACCCCTCCCCACGCATCCCCACTCCTCGCCGCGGCGCCCCCACAGGCGCTCTACGCTCCGCCCCCCTCCCCGCTCCCGCACTTTGCCTCCTCCCCTCCACACGGTCCTACTCGGAAAAGCTGGGGAAAGGCGTCACCGTGAGGACTGACTCTAGCAGAAGCGAAAGCGGGGACACCGCCGACCCGACCTATGCGCAGGCGCGCACCCGCACTTCCTGCCCTCCGTACCGGTCTGGGCGCCCTTCGCTCCGCCTACACCCGGCAGTCAATACAGCCGCCCAGAGTCTTCTCCCAGAGGCCCCGGTCCCCGCGCGGACTGTGGCGTTCTAGCGCCCTCGTGTGGCTGAAGGAGAGAACGTGGCCCTCGGCTGGGCTGCCTGCATGGGAACCACTTACCCCTGTCCGTGGTGAGTTGGGTCCTCTAAAGAATGATCCATGCAAAGCTGTGTCCGTTGTAGACTCTACGGCAGTACTGGCCAAAAGGGGAGAGACTCCAAAGGCTGCCAAAAGACGAAGGCTTCCTGGTTCTAACTCTGCGTTCATAGAAATACTTTGGAATGTGGGAACGGTGCTTTCATATGATTTTTGGAGGGACTCATTTTTAAAAAGATTAAGTATAATCTTAAGTGTCTGGAAGTTAGTTGAAAGTAGCTAGCTACAAAATGATGTGTATAGTATGTTTGATTCATTTCACCAAAACATATTTATTGAGCATCAACTACATTTTAAGTATCGGGGATGTGGCAGTAAACAAGACAGACCTGACTTTTGTGAAATTTGTATCACAGTGAGGAAAGGCAGGCAATAAAAAAAGTGTACAAATAAACAAGCAAAAGATTGTATTGTGATGGATGAGCAGTGAGGTCCTATATTAGTTTATTATGTTTATACTCTATGCACAATGAAAACATCTCAAAGGACATAAACACTGAACAATTCTAAGTACAGTATCTCTTTGGGAAGATTTGTAAGTTATTGTTTCTTTTATATGTATTTTATAATTTGCCTTTTATTTTGAAAGGGATAGTCTGGAACCCCTGACCACTGAAACCCTAAAAAAACTGAAGTAGGAGGTCCTTCAGTCTTCATGGGATGTATCTCCCAACCTCTGGAGTACACGTGACTTATCAAAGTTTCCAGCATGCTAGCCACCTCTTGCTCATCCTGCTTGATCAGCCTGATGTCGATGTGTAATGTTGGGGTTCAGGGGCTTAGGGGAGCACCCAGTTCCCCTGAGAGGACGTTTCTCCAGGTTCTTGATGTGTCGTTCCCCAGAATGGGAGAGGAGACCACGGAGCAGTACCCTGCTAGAAGTAAACGCCGGACTCAAAAGTGTTTGTAGGAAGTGATTTATTTAGGTAGGAGAAAGAGAAAGAAACAGCTAACTCACACCGAGTGAGAGAAAGAAAAGCCGCTCTCACACTGAGTGGGAAGGGTTCCCAGAGGGGGAAACCAGAGCAGGAAAGCTACTCTCACACTGAGCGAGAGAATCCAGATGGAATCCAGGAGAGGAAAGCAGCTTCCACACTGAGTGGAAGGGAATTGAGAGAGAGATGGAGTTTAGAAGGGGAAGACAGCTTCCACGAGAGAGTGTGGAGGGGGACTGGGGGGGAGGGAGGGCGGGAAATCCAGGAGAGAAAGATGGCTTCCACCAGGGTAGAAGGGGATCCAAACACGGAGTCTGAAGGGGTGTGGGAGAAGGGGACGTTTAACCTGGGAGGAACCCCCACCTTCTCTAAGACCTCTGGCCAATGAAAGCAGCTGGAGTGATTGACTTTTGACCCCTTCTCGAGCCTGACAAAATTAAAACATCAACCGTTAAATCTCCCGATGGAGAGAGATGGGAGGGGCCATGGCGCCTTGCCCTTAAAACTACGCCCCCTTGTGGACCGGGAAAGAGAACACATTCCCTCAATTGGTGTAATAGATGGGTGTGTTCTCGAATTTCCAGGTGATCCAGCTCCTTTTGGACTGCAAAGAGCCCTTATGTCATTCTCCTGGGCCCGCCTGATTTCCAAAGGGGCCAGACTGGCAAGTTAAATAAAGAGAGGATAAGGATGACCAACCACCCTTGTATACTTTAGGTCTTTAATTATGGCATTAATCTCTATCGTCATCCCCTATCCCCTCGGATGAAATGTTCGTTTTGATTTATTATCTTGACTTGGCAAGAACAGCTTCAGAAGCTTCCTGGTGGCTCTCCCCGCCATGATAATTCAAGACCAAGGATCTTGAGCTTCTTATCAATGTGGAGATTGCTCCAGTTGCCCGATAGGTACTTCCAATTATGCACTCGGGAACTAAGGAAATGACTACAGGATGGGTCCATGTATTCCTGGACCCACTGTAAGCTGGACATTATTTAGGCCTCTGCGTATTACCTGATCCCCATAAGCCCCCACACTTAGAGAGGAGCCATGTGTGTTACACACATTGGGTGTCTGGGTAACACCTGTGAAATGTCTGGGTATTCCCCTTTCCTCAACATATAATCAGTTGAGAAAATGGGCATGGGACACAGACCAAAGAATAATCATTACAGTAAATATTTGTTTCAGTATTGCAGGATTCTTCTTTCTAGGGACCCAACAACCTCTTAAGTCACAGATTCTGTGGTCTCAGTGTGAAGTTAGGCTTGGTTCTGAGACTTGAGCAATGAGCGGTGCTTTTTATTAAGCAATTAGTCCCTGCATGGGGTAAATGGCTTCTTTTCTTCCAGTTGTAGATATTAAGCAACAACCTTGTTGGCTGTCCATCTGTTTTTCCCCCAGGGAGATCTTATGCCATTAAAGCCCTCCACAACCTCTGTGGATCACACCCCTTGGCTGCTCCTCTGCCCTTGCCAGGTGTTACAGAAATTACATCCTCTGGGCTCCTCATGGTTAAAGCCACCACCTGGCTTCTACTACTTTAGGATACTATTATTCCAGTAGATATTATCAAACCCAGCTTTGTGATCGCCTCTCACTGTCATCCCTTCCCTTCAGAGGAGAGCCTTCCCTGAACTTCTTAGTGATGCTAGTGCCCTCTCGCCAGTGTGTTCCCCATTGCCATAGTATATGAGGTGTCCTCTGGGCCTCCTGTACAGCATTCTTCTCTGCCTGGCCTTCTGGCTCTACACAATAAATTCAGGCAAGTCCACTTCCTTCAGCTCCTTCTGTCCTTCCTCTACCATTTGCAAGGGCAATTCAGACATTCTTGCTTTACTCTGCATGGACCATGGCTTTCTTTCAGCTTCTAATAGTCACCTAGCCGTGAGTTTACCCCATCTTCTAGAGTCCCAAATCCCGAGAAAGTGCCCCCAAGACAGTGAATGTTTATTTAGCCAAGCTTGTTCCTGTCGCTTTGATCAAGCACCTTCAGAAATCCAATTCCAGGGGTCCTCTCCTGGCTCCTGCTGGTACATGCTAGGTAATTCTTTTAGCTCCTACATTATGCAATCTTTTCCCTCCTTTAACAGGCCCAACACATCCCCAGCTGGGTGGTGCTGGGATTTAATCTGAGTTATCACCCTGGCAGATATCTAAGAGGAGATGGGGCAGCTCCTGAGTAGGCACCTGTTTATTCCTTATACTAGAGGCTTCCACACTGCCATCTCACATGAGGGAAGTGTTAGCTTTGACTAGGGAAGGGTCAGCCACCTCTGCAAGCTCTTAGGGTCTGCAGAGTCAGTATCCTCAGGGATTCTATCAGGTTGTCCCATTTCACGCTTCATGGTTCCAAATTTTCCCCCAACCCGGGCCCAGACCTGCCTAGGCTAAGCATTTGAACATCTCTGGGGCTCTGCAACTCTGATCATGAAAATCTCTTTTGCTCCACTGCTATCCACACTCCTCCACTACAGGAGAGAAGAACCTCTCTGCTACCTACCAAGGAGACTTCTGACTCTCACTCAGCCTTAGCTGTTTTACTAATGACCTCACTTTCTCATTTTCCCATGCAGGGCATCCGCACAATGCAGCAATAACCAGCCCACTTGCACTGTTCTTTCAGACATTGCTCCCTCCATCTTTCAAGTGCCTTAACTATCCCACTTAAATGGCATTGCCCTCCCCTGGGCCATTTTCCCAAGTTGCCATCACTGAAATCCACACATGGGCCACTATCTTGTGCCAAACACTACCCACAACCCCACGTTACTCAAGATGGAGTTCTTGTAGCCTGCTGGGCAGTTAGCCACTCTCAAAGCTGATCCTTCCTTCCTTCCTTCCTCCTCCTCCTCCTCCTCCTCCTCCTCCTCCTGCTCCTCCTCCTCCTCCTCCTGCTCCTCCTTTCTTCTTCTTCTTCTTTTTTTTGTAGAAAGTGATTCATTTAGGGAAAGAGAGAGAGAGAAACAGGAGGAGAGAGAGAGAAACAGCTAACTCTCATGCTGAGTGAGAGAATCCAGAAAGATGGGATCCAGGAGAGGAAAGCAGCTTCCACACTGAGTGGAAGGGAATAGAGGGAGATGGAGTTTAGGAGGAGAAGACAGACTTTCACGAGAGAGTGTGGAAGGGGACCCCAGAGGGGAAATCCAGGAAAGAGAAAGATGGCTTCCACGAGAGTGTTCGTGGAAGGGGACCCAAACATGGAGTCCGATCTTACCATCTTCTTCTCAGCCCCTTCTAGTCCACCTCTATCAGTGTAGGCCCCCTAAGAAACAGATGCTAAGGCGGAATCACGTGCAAGACATACTTACTGGGTGCAAAATCCTGGGAAGGATAATGAAGCGGGAGCAGGAATAGACATGAAGGGCCCTCAGATCATAACCTTGGTTAAAGGAGAGAGGGAAAGAAGAAAGACTGGATAAGAAGCACCTCAGGTTGTAGCACAGTTCTAAGAAAGTTTTGAAAATGAGGAGTCCTTCAGCCAAAATTCCTGCAGGAGGAGTTCTATATTTTGCAGAGATGGACACCCACTAGTGTTCACACCATGGGTAATCATTGGCTAAGAGCCTATGGGGAGCATGCGCTTGTTACAAATGCAGGGGAGCCAGAAGGTCAGAGGCAGGGCCTAGCAGTCAACCATGCTCCCCAGAACAGATGTAAGCTGCATATTTTCACAGCCACAGCTGCTGGAGGATTTAGAGTTTGAATAAGTCTTCTGTCCTGGCCATACATCTTTGTGCTGCCCTTTCAACAAGTCTTTAAGCAATGTGCTATGGATGGAATGTTTGCATCCCTCTGAAATACATATGTTGACCCCTAAATTCCCAATATTAAAGTATTTGGAAATGGGGGC